AACTTGTAACTGGTCCCAACCCAAAATATTCTGAAAATAGAAAAGTAGTTATAATAATAATATTTCTTTAAATCTATAAAACTATTACAGTCCCAATTATTTCATCAGCTCTAGTTCAAGCAGTGGTATAACTTCCTTGTATCTCTAAGTTTTGGATTTCATCATGGTATAAATATAGTTAGTGATATCACAAGGAACCACAGAAAACTCAGTCTTCTCTAGTCAATACGAAAATGATAGAACTGATTATAATGAACTTACCTACAATACTAATTTTATAAAAAGAAATATAAATAGGCACTAGTTAACTTTCCATTATTAAAGTGGGTCAAAGGGCATAAGACGGAACAGAAAGAATGTCAATTTAGGGTTCATTTAGAAGCTGGTGATTTTAGGCGAAAAGTGAAAAAGAGCCAAAGATTTAAGAAAATTTGGACAACCAGGACTAGCTCAGAATTATTGATCAAACTAAAGACTGATTTAGACAGATAAAGGAAAAGAAGCACATAAAGAAAAAGGCCAGAGAGCTAAGCAAGGAGTCACGTGATGGCCCCAAGTCAGGTGGCAGCAGAACAAGATCACAGACACATGACTCAATACAGTGGACATAGAGGGACTCTTGACAGCCATTGGCATCAAGGCATGCCTCCTTTGTATGTGTATCACAGGAGAGAGAGAGAGAGAGAGAGAGAGAGAGAGAGAGAGAGAGAGAGAGAGAGAGAGACATGGCCCAACCTACAAACTAGGAAGGAATGACATGAATGTTCTGAAGTCAAGGAAGTGGTTTTGCGACAAGGATCAAGAGGTCTTGCAGGGATATGTTTTAACATCACACCTGAGTTCCTTAGCCGCTGCTGTGGTGTACCACTGCCTAATGACAATGCCTTATGGGAAGACTCTCCAAAGACACTTCCTAATCAATGACACCACATATACAATGACACGTACCACACGCACACACACAGAGGCAGGTGCACACTGAAAGGCCCCCATTTTTCTGTGACATCAGTGCCTCAGATGAAACCTAAGCAATCATATTGTGTACTTATGTGAGACCTAGAGTCACCCCACTTACAACACTGCGAAGATAGAGTTGAGAGCAACCCGTGCTTTGGAAGACTCGCTATATTTCTTGTACCTTTTTATACTTTACAAGAATTGTCTTAGAAACATGTTGTCCACATCCACAGACTACCAATTAATTTTGGGTATATCAAGTGTACCTTTTTCCTTTCTGTAGACAGATGTGATAGGAATTTGTAAAAAGAGTAGCTGAAGCCACTTGTTTCTCTCAAAAAAAATGATTTGAAATCAAGTTAACATTAACCTTTCAAAGAATCATAAATGATAAAAATTGCTCTCAGTGTCCAGAGGAGGACTTCCACTACTCACTACAGGGAAACCACTGGAAACCTGTTTTATAAGAGAGAGCGTGAAAATTATTTCCACAAAACTTCAATTCCATTTATAAATTTTCATTTTGGCTTTAACTCGAATATGCATAAACTACTAAATGCCATGACTAAAATAAAATACGCATGGCAGTGATATACTGAATTCATCTTTCTTGTATTAATGTATACTTTTTCATTAGCAGATTGAAATAAAAACGGTGTTATTTTCACGAACCAGGAAACTGTTTATGTGTGTAACTCTGTGTACTGGTGTATATTTCTCAATATTAACTATTTATGACTTAGGTCTTGAGTCTCTCGTTGGCATCTGCGACTCTGCTGATGTCCAGGAGGCTCTTTGGAAATTCTGGCAACACTTTGGGGACAGCATCTTTCCACAAATCCAACAATAGGCCTTTGCATGCGCCTACCAGTAGGTGGAGCAGACAACATAATTTATTACCCAACAACAAGGACAAGGGAATGAAAGTCAGTTTCTCTGGAATAAAACAAATCTGCAAATGAGATTTTCTTCAAAGGGAATATGTCCTGTATGTGTTAGATTTAGTTTGACTGGTTACTGAATCAAAATAAATAACTTTATTAAATAATCAATCTTTGCAGAAAGATAAATTAAATTTACAAATGGAGGCAATGTTTGCATTTTACTTATTCAAATCAACTAAAATTAGCTTTCTTTTCATAAAACTTTTACAGGGACAAACACTTTTTGATGTGTTCATTTAATAAGGGCACTAAACCCAATCCTGTTTTACAGGTGATGGTGTGCATAGCAAGTAGTATTTTCTAGGAAATATAATTGACTAATCCTATTATGTCTGTAGCAACAAATTAACCTTATTACTACTAGTAAATCATGATTGATTATTTATGCAAATAAGTCAACCACGTTCAGCTTTCTGATCGAAATAAACATATACAAAAGGTGCTTTAATACGACTGGAACTTTTTAATTAATAAAATCCTGAGGGGCCTATTAATTCACTCGCAATATTAATTATTTCGTTGTGTGATTTCTACTTCTGCTAACAATTTGCTTGCATAGGGTGAGATAATATCAGTAAAAGTAATATATTTTAGAATCTTTAAGATATACATTGGATTTGTACTAAAAATAAGCTTAAAACTGACTTTAAAACTGTCCTAGCATGTGAGTATGTCAGTAGATCAGCACAATTGTCCTAAAATTATTAACACATTAAATAACACGTGATCTCATTTATTTTCTAGGTCTGACTTTACAAATATAATGTTGGCTTACAAAAATATTCACCTTTTCTGATGCATTATTTGTCCAAATTAATGTTTTATTTCTACTCATCTCTATTAGAGAGCTATGAAAGTTTGATATAAAATTAGTTTTCTACAAACTAGACTAAAATCATGTCTGAATTATCGAAATCATCAATCAAATAGTGTTCCTCTCCTTGCTAAAATGCGATTAGAATTATTCTTTTAAGCAGGTTAACAAAACGTGTCTTATCCTGATAGACTTCTTATAAAATTATTCACACTTGAGGATTTATTCAGTAACTTTTCAAACGTCTGCGTGAGTTGAGAGTCAAAACTGACACCAGCATCACAAAATAAATCCTCAATTCATCCTTGGCTTTGCCTTTGTACGTCAATATACATCCAAGGTAATTTGAAACACATTTTTAAAAAACTCTTAAAACGAGCAGGAAGGTTACTCTGTAGCGTTGGCCTCCGGGAACGTCGCGTCTGCAGCTGAACTTCGCCCCAGGAGCCAAGTCATGCCGAGCAAGTCAGCACCCAGCCTTGGCCTCAAGCGTGTGTCCTTCATTCTGAGTCTTCTTCAGGTTTGAAAGAGTCGAGTCTTTTATTAAAATCAACAAGGCAGTAAGTGGGATCAGTAAAGTCATAGACATGAATGGTGGTTCATTTCAGTCGCCACCGATATGCGCTGTAATGGGAAGCTGTCAATTTCCTTCTGAAATAAAAGTGTTTGGAAACAGACTGCACGCTGCTTCTGTGGTTAAGAATCACACAGTTACAGGTCCCAGTACAGCATCAGGTACAGCATGGGCACTAAAGAGTGTATTAATTGCAGTATTTAACGGACACATTTTAAAGTAAAGATTTATATTCCTGATTTTTATTAAATCTTAGTGCTGCATATTTTTGTCTAGGTGAAGATAAAATACTGCTTTTTAATTTCTTTTTCTTTTTGCTTAGGTGAAGACGATTTATAATTGTGACTTGTAATATCAGTTTTAAAATTCACCCTTTTTATATTATGATGAAAAATAATGATTTATAGCTAAGTAAAACAAATTTGGTGGCTAGAAGAAATAAAACATTTGAAATTTCCAGTGCCATCTGTCAGCACAACGAATTCCCTGACCGAGGCAAACAGATGAGAGAAGAATGACATCAATGTTCTATTTTATTACCAGGAAAAAAAAGTTTGCCTCGAGAGCAAAACTGTTCCCAAAGGTTCTAAGGCAAACTGCCAGCAACTAAAGTAAAAACAAAAAACAAAAGCATTTTTGCCAAAAAGTATTGTTGACTTGTATTTCTATATTTAAAAAAAAAAAATGTATCTCACCCCACAGCTGACATTTTTACATTGTTATGGATTTTATAATAAAAAGTAGAAACACTTTGACTTTTTATTTCTAAAATGATCTTTGAATTATCTCTGAGTTTCGGAGTCCTTGCCTGTTAAATGAAGATAACCGAGCTCTGCAAAGCTAAGTAAACGCTGAGAGAGTCCTTACTGCCAAGTACTGTTGTTCAGACGAGCAAATACAGGCGAAGGTGCAGGATGGGTGTGTTGCAAAGGCTCGGCCGACCTAGTCCCCAATGTTTTGGGGTTTGGATGCCCCTAAGGATGACGCCAAGTCTCAGATCGCACCCTACACCCCTGGGACCTGCGCACCTCCAAAAACATCACATGTGACTGCAGCTAGAATTCCGAGACTGGACTTGAAGGCCCAGAAGAAAAACTCAGAAATTGCTATTTCTGGCCTAAAGCTCAAGTCAGTCGCAAGACACCTCGACCCTCAAAGTCATGCTTTTTCCAAACCCTGTTTGTGAGCAGAATATTCTACACACGATGCGCTTTTCCTTAGCAGACCTAGCTAGATCCGGGGCCCTGCGATTTGACCAACTCTAAGAAAAGAAATTCCCAAGTATCCCGAATTCCACATTTCCTTTTCTCCGTGGAGGTGGAATTGCTGGAGGACTTCTGATCAAAGCTGTCCCCGAACACGGGAGCGAGACACCTGAAGGCTATGCGGCTTAATAGCGTGTGAGTTCTTGATCAGTTCACACGGCGGGAGCTGCTGCGAATGGGCCTGGAAAGCGAGGTTAAGCCCTCCGTGTTGTTATCGTGGGGGTGGGGGTGGGGGTCACACGCTGCCTGGGGCCTGTCCGCCCGCGGCCGCTGTCACGGGCGAGTCCCCGAGCCTGCGTGCACCTGCAGCGCAGCGCGGAATTGAACGCGAAGTCGTGTCTTTGTGATATCTTTCAACTAGTCATGTCCCATTCAGGCTGCTAGTTTATCTCTGTCAGGCCCGGGCCCGGCGGCTTACGGGAGCTGTCAGGGACAGGTAGACCAACCTGCTTTGTGCTGAGGAGGTAATGCATCTTTCTGGCTTGGTAATCTCTTTTCTTCTCCTCCCTCTCCAGGCTGGCCTTCTCCTCCTCTCTTTCCTTCATCTCTGCAAACTCGTCCAGGGCCTCCCTGCATCGGAACGGTCTGCGGTTACTTACGATGCTAACAGCCCGCTTACATCTCAATTCTTTCACTAATGACAATCGAGTAGGTTTTTTGAGAGACGACCGTCGTCCGCATCCATCAAAGTCAGAGGTGTGATCTATTCTTACCTGCACATTAGAGGGAGATCCTGCAATCTTTGAAAGGCATTTAAAGTGATTTTTCAGTGGTTAAATTTGTAAAATCAAGTATCCATATCTTATAATGAATCCAGTAGTTGAGGAACTATAGCAAATGCAAAGTCAGTGAATTGTTATATTAATTTCTTCGGCTGAAGATGAACTATTTCCGACATACTAAATATCCCAAGAAAAGATTTGATCTCCTGATTTCCTTTACATTTTGATTTTCTATTCATAAGTCTCTAATCACGTACTTTGTATACTAACTAGTGGGCTAATTTAAAAAGCGGGATGGGCTCTATACATATGCTTAATTCATTATAAGTTTATTTCTGTTAACAGTTCAAATAATAGCAGCACAATTACATATATTATCCTGCGCTTGAAAGGTTGACATTTTGTCCAATTATATAGAAAATCAGAATAAAAGCTAAACTATGTGAATAAGTTCATGGCTTTTTAAGTATAATAAATTCCATTAAAATAATGAAACTTTTAAATCATTTACGTGTGTGTATCTAAGAAATTGAAGCAAAACATACGGTTTTAAAATATACTGTGTAAAAAGCACCTCTGGATAGAGTATGTTATCAAATATGAAAAAATAAAATAACTTCTCTGATTACCTGTCCTTTATTTTAATAGAACAAATTTAACTATTTCTATTAAGATAATGTTTTGAAATCGGACTTTATTCTTAAAAAAAAAAAATAGATCCGTAACTTACTGTCTAGATCTATAAGTAAAATATTGAGTGAATCCTGAGTCTCAAACATACCAGGGGAAAGTGGAGGAGGTAATTCTAAAAAGAAGAAAAGATTCTCATTTTTCCTTCAGTGTTTCGGAATATTTCTGTTGCAAGTTTCTGTTGCCGGCTCCTAGTACATACTTCATACAAGGTTACTTATGAAACACACTGACGTTTAAAAATCACCACGCTATGCCACGCAGCACAGCAATTTTTTTTCAACATAAGATTAAATTGCAAAATAAATGAATTACTTGGAGTGGCATGGCCCTCATTTTGCCACCCTTCTCTTGAAAATTGCTTATTAATATGAAAAAAGAAGTCAGAAAATAGCCCGTTTTACTTTATGCATAGTATTTGGGGGGCTGCGGCGCCCACAGAGCCGGGCTGGCGGCACATTTAGATTGTGCTGGCAAGCTGGTACAACGACCTGTCTGACCTGCACCTCAAGGCTATTATTAATCGCTAAGTAACCTGGTAAAGCCAAACAAATTTGTTTCCATTGAAAGGATCTCTATCTGTGTCTGAGAATTTGTTCTGTACCAAACAAACCTCATTAACTGTGTCCATTTTTTGACAAAGAACCAGGAGTTAGAGGGACTGGTGACCTTTCTTTGTCCTTAAGGTACAAATTTCAAGGCAGTTACTTATGAATAAATGTGGATTTTTACCAGGAAAAAAAATAATAATGTGTTATATAAGAAACCGAATAGATGATTAATTTTCATCTTCACTTTTTATGTTATGGAAACAATAAATAATTCTTCTATAATTCCTCTTACAAGTCTTTAAGGTAATTTAAAATAACCTGTAAACTGCCACTACCAGGTTAATTACTCAGCTATGCACGCGACCAATTTATGTGCCTCCAAAGATAAGTACAGTCACTTTCTGAGCAATCACAAACAAAAAATTAATATATCTGCAAAGAACTTTGTGCTTTATAAATGATTTAATGACTATGGAGAGGTCTTACCTAAGAAAGAAAAAAAGGCTCAATATAACGAACACAACACGAACAGGTAAGACACAAAGAAGTACATAGGTCCCGACACAAAATCAAAACCATAAATTACTTGAAGTAGTAAAAACAGTCCACCTTCGGGATGTGGAAATGTAAAATATAAATGGTGTGTACTTGGGGAGTTTGGCGAGGAAAGCTAAAACCGAGAGAGATGCAGAAGAATGTCCGTTTCCGGTACAAAGGAAACACACAATAGACCCAGAAGGAACTGGGAAGCCCTAATAACAGATCCAAATTTGAGCAAGCAGTAGAAAAATAAACCTGGGGTAATCGCAAAAACACAAAGTAATTAATTTAATAAATTCATACAATTATTGGCAAGAATCAATCCTGCATTCCTGATTTATTGCCCTACTTGAGAGTGTACAAATATACTGAACGCTGCAGCTATGTTTATGTCCAGAAGTCTTTGTCAAATGACCAAGTAGGAAGAGGCAAATAAATGATTTATGCTTGATATACAAGTTTTTGTTATATCAATAGGGATGAAGATTTGGCTCAGTATAAACAATGTAATAAAAATATGATCTCATTAAAGATTAAATGATGCAAATCATTTTAACTAGGATTCCCTACAAAATTATTAAAATTTTCTTTTCTTTTCTTTTTTATTATACATGGAATTTTAAAGCCAGTACTTTTAGAATACTTCAAATTTTTCCAAATAATTTTAGGTTATTGTCATTTCATGTGTATTTCTTATTTCTATTCTAAAGAAAACAATCTGGTGACATATATGAAATAGGTATCACTAGTTACCATATTTTAAAAATACGGAAACACATTAAGAGATGAGATGTCCTACTCTAAATAACAAATGCTTTGCAGGTCCTCCAACTCCACACCAAGCTGTGGTTATCCTGATACAAGCAATAGTATGCAGAAGATTCTGTGCCCCATTCACATGGCTTTGCAAATAAAATAGCTAACAGGTAGACTATAGACAGGACAAAACACCTAATAACTAGACTATAGACAGAACAACTACACTCTAGGCAGAACAACTACACTACAGACAGGATAACTAGACTATAGACAGAAATACTAGACTATAGACAGAATCACTAGACTACAGACAGAATCACTAGACTATAGACAAAATTACTAGACTATAGACAGAATCACTAGACTACAGACAGAATCACTAGACTACAGACAGAATCACTAGACTACAGACAGAATCACTAGACTACAGACAGAATCACTAGACTATAGACAAAATTACTAGACTATAGACAGAATCACTAGACTACAGACAGAATCACTAGACTACAGACAGAATCACTAGACTACAGACAGAATCACTAGACTACAGACAGAATCACTGGACTATAGATGGAATTATTAGACTACAGACAGAATTACTAGACTACAGACAGAATCACTAGACCATAGACGGAATTACTAGACTACAGACAGAATCACTAGACTATAGACAGAGTCACTAGACTATAGACAGAATCACTAGACTATAGACGGATTTACTAGACTACAGACAGAATTACTAGACTATAGACAGTCACTAGACTATAGACAGAATCACTGGACTACAGATAGAATAAGTTCAGAGAGCTTGCTTCTGGTTACAGGATCAGAAAATGTTTCATGTATATGGCAGCACTGGAGTTGGGAAATGTAGTGAGCATGCTTTCACTAAAGAGAGAGTTGGGACAGAGGAGAGTGTGATAAACAAGGCTGGATTGCTCATAAGAATCTCTCACTGTCTTTGGTAGACCTGGTCCCTCAACAGCAAAGGGAGAGATGCATTCAGACTAGAAGAAAGTCTTCCCAACCATGGGCGAAGGGCTCTCTGAAGGGAATGCTGGCAAAGTTGTACTCTATAGACAAGATATTTTCAGAATGAAAAAAGTAAAAAAAGATAATAATGGTCAATGTTCTAAAATTACAACACCATGACTTCACTCTGATCATAAAAAGAGATCATCCAATTGCTCCATTATTTCATTTGCCTACTTTGCATGATTTTAAAAAGCAATAAGACTCTATTCAAAAGAGCATTCATGAAAATCATTTTCTTCTTTTTTTTTCTGGCTCTTTTGAATAAACTTCCTTGTACAGAATTCTTTTGTACAGTATTCTTTCTGAAAATATGCACATATTTCACTGTAAAATTATTTTCTTTTTACTATTCTGGATAGTTTCTCTAAACGAAAGTAAAATTTTATATAACATAAATGATGTTAAATAATTGAGAGTGGCACTGAGCTAAGTATAATAATAGGCATAATAGCAACATGTATTTACATTGTGTGTTTTTATAGAAGCTCCAAGCACTTCACAGACATTAATCCATCCCCAAAACATTCTGCTGAGGTTGGCAAGAGGCAGGTGTTATTAACCAGGCTCCTGTTCTTTGTGAAATGAAATGGCTTTACAGGTGGTGACTGAGGCCTAGCCAGAGGGCCTTTCTGCAGAAAGGTAGACCAAGGCATATGTCTCTCTCCTCAGCTATCTTCTTTTTTAATGGGCTTAAAATTTTCACCTTTATTGAGAGAGAGAGGAAGAAAGAGAGAGAGATAGAAACATCGATGAGAGAGAACATTGATTGGCTGCCTCCTGCATGCCCTCCACTGGGCATCAGGCCCACAACCTGGGCATGTGCCCTGACCAGGAATCGAACCAGCGACCTCTTGGTGCATGGGTCGATGCTCAATCACTGAGCCATACCAGCTGGACTCTCCTTGGTTGTCTTGCCAGTGTTTCAGCTGTGGAGGAGGATCAAGCTACCGAAGTTTTGTTTGGGGTGGAGTTCAGAGGTGAGGTAGGTAAAGTTTCCATTTCATACGAAAAAAGAGCAAGATCTTATTTACTTTACATTCTCTCAAAAATCACACTGTCTCTCATTTAAAATGTGTTGGCTTCATTTTATTTTACTCATATGTTTAAGAATGTTGACAGCAGTTTTCTTCATAATTAAAACTGTAAATAACCCAAATGCCCTTCCACACATGAATGGACAAACAAATCCAGACAGTGAAATACTACTCAGTGATAAGGAGGAATGAACAAACTAAAGATATGGCCAACGTGGACAGATGTCAAAAATAGAAAAAAAAAAGTTATTCTGAGCCAAAACAGCTGGTAACAAGAATAAATTCTGTATGGTTAATTGCTATCCCCTTCTAGAACAAACCAAGCTAATACATGGTGATAAAAAGTTCACAAGTGGCTTTGGGATAAGCAGGTGGGGTAGGGGGTACAAGGTGGGACTGACTACAGACGAGCTCAAAGGAACTCCCTCAGGTGATGAACATCGTCTGCGGTTGTGTCTCTGGGCTGGAGAACATTCGGATTTCTGGCTCGTCGCAACACAGGAACACAAGTGGCAGCAGAAGTCACAGATGTGGGAGAGACTGTCCCGAGCATACAGAGCAAAAATGCGCGAGCACCAGAGACCTGGCGGATACAGGTGCAAAGGCAAAGAACAAGGAGAAGACACTGGGGTGGGAGCCAGGAGACAGTGGTGTCAGATCATTCCAGCCACCAGAGAGGTGGGAGAAGAAAGTGATCAACAGTGTCAGAGGCCAGGTGACGGGAAGGCCCTGCAGCCCACTGGACGGCACAGCCAACGACTTTCCAGCAGAGGTTACACTTTCTCAAAGCACTTTCACCACAACTTACACGTGCCTTCGAGTACGACTGAAAAAGTGTGCATATTACTAATCAAGTACTTGAACCTGACGTTCACTGCGTACATTTACTCTGCATCAGTCAGTACTAAAAAGAGGGCAACCAGTCCTTACTGGAGAATTAAAAAGGGGGAAAGAAAATAAGGAATTGTCTTCCATCCGTCTCCCGTCAGATCAGCGAGGCGAAGTGAGAGGTGCGAACCCCACCATCCATTCCGCGGAGCCGGACAGCCACGGGCCGGGTCCACAAACCACCATATCTCAGTCCCCCGCTTGCAAATGAGTAACAATCGAATGCTATGCGCTAGCACCTATCCCCAAATAGCTGAACAGAAAGAAAAAAGAGAGCCTTGAAATTCAGACAAACTCTTTTCTGTTAAAAACAATAAATGGGCCACTGCTCATGACATCACTCAGGGTCTCCCACGCACGGTTGCTATGCGGGGTTTCTTCTAGGACCTGGGCTACACAAAGCTGTTTCCTGGCACAGGTAGTGATGTTTCCTCCGTTTTGACAGTGGGGTGCGCGGCACTGACTACATTCCAATCGCATCGTTAGGGTGGTTGCTCTGTATTCCCTGCTTGAGATTCCCAGTGTGAAGGGTTAAATTGGAAAATAATTAACATATCAGTAAAGAAATTATACCCAGGATAGAAAGATTTTTCCTTTTATTTTTTATAATTTTTTCCTTTTATTGATTTTAGAGAGAGAAAATGAGAGGGAGAGAGAGATAGAAACATCGATGAGAGAGAACATTGATTGGCTGCCTCCTACATGCCCCCCACTAGGGATCGGACCCACAACCTGGGCATGTGTCCTGACCGGGAATCGAACAGGCGACCTCTTGGTGCAGGGGTCGACCTCTGAGCCACACCGGCCGGACTCCTTTTATTAATTCTATGTTGGGAATGAAGCTCTTTTTCCTTTAAATATACTTTATTTTTTGAAGTAGCAAATTATTAAAGATAGTACATTCTTGTTAAAAATACAGTGTGTGAAAAGGTTTTGATCAAATGGTTGATTATCATTCCATATTTTAAAGTGATTATATGGATTATGTCATTAATGACTAATTGTGGACAAGTTACAGACTGTCTTCAAAGCAAATAATACATGCTGTATTTTAACTTAGACACTTGGTACGTTACCTAAATTCCACTACATTTCTTGCTGTAATTGTTGCATCTTCAGGTATAAAATGATTCCACAGAAAATATTCACATGTATAGTTAACATCACAGACAGATTTGGTTCTTGAAAAGGAGAATGCTATTTTCCTGTCATCTTAGGGAGCTCCACCGAAAGACCCCGTCCTCTGGATACAATTAGATGAAGTCCAACTGCCATCATTTAGTCGGCTGAGATCAGAATGCCGTATTTTTAAATGAGGTTTACTGAAATGCTATCTTTAGGTATTCGTACGTGTCCTCACTATTTACACGATATCTATGGTGCTCCACTTATGTCCTTGAAATCGGGCACGGGGACACTGTGGTATGAAAAAGTGGCCTAGCTGCTGGAGTTCATAAATTTTGTTCGGTTTTGGATGAGTTCAAAGAATTGCCATGTAAGAAAAGCCTTACAGAGGGAATTTATCTGATGATGGCAGTAATAATTACCCAGCTGTTTATTGCAGATAGAGAAATAATTCATGCAGGCAATAGGCCGTGGTGGCAATGACACCCTGCATTTAGTAAATATGCAAACTGTTCACTTCTAATTAACCAAGCTAGAGGATGCCCTTATTAAATGTATAAACCAAAAGTGCCTTCCTGACAAGTGATGAATTGTTACATCGCACAAACTCTTGCCACAGAATCATTGCAGTGAACTTGGGGCTTAACTTCATTAAGAGATCTTGTGGGATCGTTAAATGAGGATGGACAGCGGAACACGGCTCACCTGACAGCCAATGGGACGTCTGAGCTTCACCAACGGCCCCTCTCCTCCGTCCTGCCTGGCTGCTCAAACTCCCCGGAGACTAACTGTGAAGTTCACTTGAGTTCCAATAACAAAAATAAACAGAATAACAGGACATCCCACCGACGAAGGCTCCCTGATATGTGACCGCCCCGAATGAATCTCCATAACAGTCACTGCATCGACACAGAAACGCCACGACTCCTTAACTTGAAACGACTTGTTGAGTAAAAATAAACGATCTTATTGAGCAGCATTGTCATATCTTTCGAAAAGTAAATGAATGGGTTTTCTTAAAGAAAATTAATACGACACAGAAATTACTCTCAGTGTTGACTCGGAATGAGTTTTACTTCATTTGACCAAAAAGTTCATAATAAATGGTTCATTGTCTCTATTCTATGCTTAGCCTGACTTTAAGATAACGATTCATTCTTTATCAAACACCGATGCCAACGTTTCCATCTCAAGTACAGAGCTTATGGAAATTACTACTTAGAGGGAAGTCTTAAACATAATAAAGCAAAACTAAAATATTTCTGTTTGAATGACAGGATAGGCAATAACATCCGCTGTCCAAGCTTAGTGTGGAAACTGAAGATGTTGATGAGGATAAAGAACTCAGCACAATTCTGCCCTGGCCGGTTTGGCTCAGCGGTTGGAGCACAGGCCTCCGGTTCGGTTCCCGCTGAGGGCACGTGCCTCGGTTGCAGTTTGTCCCCGACCCTGGTTGGGTTGTGAGGGTGGCAACCACTCGATGTGTCCTTTTCACGTCGGTGTTTCTCTCTCTCTCTCCCTCCCACTCTATCTGAACAAAAAATGGAAAAATGTCCTAGAGTGAGGATTAAAAAACAAACAAATAAACAAACAAGAAAGAACTCAGCACAATTCCTGGTGCACAGTAAATGCTCACTGTGTGCTGGTCATTTCTAAGGTGCTTCTCTGACAATGGCTCTATATCTGATTGAGGGACTCATTCTTAGTGATTTCAAGGACAGACATCCATGCTGATGTAGACCACACGTGCTCTTCCGCCTACATCACACAGCCTGAGATGAGTGTGTGAACGGGCAATTCAGAAAACACCAGAGTAATATTATTTGCTTACTCATGAAGAGTACAAGATGTTGAAATATATTACAACACATTTTAAGTTCAATAGAATCCTGTCTCTGACTTATCAATACACTTCTGCCTGAGATATCACTGAGTTTGAGAAATCATTTCTAATTATGGTAATGATCAACATGTACTGGGTAACTTTTCTAAAATTTTCACTGGTAGACTCGGGTTACACTACTCACCTGACTGCGTCATTGGTCTCTGAAATAGCTTTCAGGTAGGCCTTCAGATAAAAATAATTGAAGCAGTATTTCCGAATCTTGTAGCCTCGCCACCACCTCTGAATCTATTCAAATAAATAAAAAGTATCCAGTAAACGCTTTTAGTGCAAGTATTAATAGTTCTTCAAAATAAAGATAACGATGGATGATAACATATCAGATAAAATCATAGGCCTTTCCATTAATTTAACAATATACATAGTTACAAATGTAGCTTGGAGTCATAGATTGATTATAAAATGTTATAACAAAACATGCTTTATAGAATATAATTTACTTTAGAATATTTATCATTGTTTCACAAATACTAAATGTGAAATTAACTAGTGAAAGAGTAAAAATATGCTTGACCAATTCCTATCATTTCTACTTCTTGATGTACAGGTTTTTTATTTTAGGCAACCAACTGACTTAAAGATTATATTTGGTCTCAATGAAATCAATGATTTAAATGAGCTTTTAAAATCCAGTAGAATCAATTCTCTACACAAAATGTCATGTACCTTCATCTTGACATTTTAATACTTCTTTAACAATAACAATAGCTAACATTAATTGAGTTCTTATTATGTGAGAGGCATTATTCTAAAACTTTGGTTTTATTTATGCATTTAGTTTTTAGAACACTCTTCTGAGACAAATACTCTTATCATTTTATTTACAGATAAAAAAACGGCTAAAAGGAGAAATTACGTAATGTCCCCGTAATTTAACAGCTATTAGTGATGGACCCAAAAATCAAATGAAGACTTCAGAGAGCCCATTGTCTAAACTACTGCGGTACAGGAGGAGGAAGGGAGTGATCTGTAGCTTTCAGTGAACGGACACTTCTGTTGCAAGTATCTGGTTTTTGTTAAGACGAGAGAAGTGCTGGGGGTATAAGAGAACATACTTCAGTGGGCTACTAGATGCTAATAATCATGAGAATCAGTCAACTTCCTCACGCTCTATCTTTCCTAATACATCCTCTCTTAGAAAAACCTCAAAACAAAAATAATATAGAGATCAAATTTTCTGTGAAAGACAAAAAGTACTCCAATTTCTTTAAAGGAAAAGAAGAAGACATAGCAAAAGTTGAAAAATAAAAAAGTTAACATAGCTTTATACATTGAATGTTTATTCAACTTTATTCCCCCAAATTTCCCAGCAGTTTACATATATTTACAAATTATTCTCATAAATGTATGATTCTCTTTTTTAATATTAAGTCCCCCCAATGTGTTTTACAGTTAGCGAGGCTAGGAACACACATCTAAACATCATATTTTTTAAAATAGGAAAGAATGGTTAATATAGAGATAATTGGATTTTAGCCCCAAAATCTACCCTTTCTTTACCTAAATACATTGAGTTTAAAATTTTTATAACTTGAATGCTAGGTACATGAGAATAAACAGGAAAAATGTTTAACTTGGATTCTGATCCTCTATGTTTGTTTTAAAATATGGTCATTTAAAAGGCATTTTACAATCTGAGATATTAAATGGGAAGATTTCAAAGACATATTTTAGTATGAGGGAAAATAATTGGAGATATGCAAAACAGCTTATAAGAACAATTAAATCAGAGACAATAATTCTAGAACGTAAAATTAAGCAGAATAGTGAGCTAATGTAACGTTGTAGACGTCTTTCCAAATATTTTTCAAATAATCTCATTTCAGAAATTAATTCTTTAAATGAAGAAAAATTAAAAATTTAAATTGTACACTCAATTTAGAAACAATCTCCCTCTAATTTAACCAAAATCATATTATGACTAACAAAGAAAGAGAGGAATACAAATTACTTTCCTAATGGAAAAGAAAAATCAATTGGAACATGTACACATTTATAAATCATAAAGGCAAATAAGTGGATATTTTCCCGATTTACCTAACTTAATCATCATCGTATCATTCTGCAGCAGAGATTATTACCCTCATTTCGGAGAGGAAATTGGTCCTCAGAGAGGTTAGATTGTTGCCTAAGGTTCTGTGTAGGTGGCCGGGTGGCTTCAGACGTCTCACAGACTTGTGAGGCACAGTAGAAAACTGTCAACAAAGCACTGATGACAGAGATCCCATCATCACAAATACAAGTAACTCCCCCTGGCTGGGGAGCTCAGTCGGTTAGAGTGACCACCCCAAACGCCAAGGTTGCGGGCTCCTCTGGTCAGGGCGCATACAAGAATCAACCAATGATTGCATAAAGAAGCGGAACAGCCCTGGCCAGTTTGGCTCAGCGGTTAGAGCGTCCGCCTGCGGTCCGGAGAGGCCCGGGTTCGGTTCCCGCTAAGGGCATGTACCTCAGTTGCAGTTTGTCCCTGGCCCTGGTTGGTCGTGCGGGTGGCAGCCACTCGATGTGTCCCTTTCACGTCGATGTTTCCCTCTCTCTCTCTTCCTCTCTCCCTCCTGCTCTGTCTGTACAAAAAATGGAAAAAGTGTCCTCGGATGAGGATTAAAAAAAAAAAAAAAGAAGTGGAACAGCAAATCAATCTCTCTCTCTCAGATCAATCAATAAAAATTAAAAAAACAGAAAGAGAAGTGGCTCAGGAAGCATGGAAACATTTTAGGATATCGAATAGTGTCAAGGGAGGGGCTGCCTATGACACAAAAATAACATTAAATTCTAAATTAGATGGTGTGACAGAAAACACAAAAGATGCATGCTGGAGTACTTAGAAGGAGAGAAGAAAGATGGTGATTTATGATTGGTTCACACCGTATTAGAGAAAGAAGACTGAAAGGACAAAAACTGAACTTGGCTGAAACATCTGTGCCAATGGGAAGGGTACAGGCAGACGCCAAGGGCATGGGCCCCTTCCCACTGCAAACGGAGCAGCTCCAGAGAGAGCACCAACCATGCCCACAAAGCTACAATGGGTGTGCCCCCAGCGAATGCCCTGATGCTGGAACTGCTCAGACATCTACCCAAAAGCAGGATAGCATTCCTTTGCAAGACAGGTCCTTCTATTCTGGTGTATTAACGCACATGATAAGTAAGAGATGGTTAACAAATTAAAACTCATCCACATTCAAGTATAATGGATCATTCTTTTTCTTTTTCTTTTTCTTTTTCTTTTTTTTTTCTGGTACGTGCCCCTAGCGGGAACCAAACCCAAGACTCTCTGGTCCGCAGGCTCCAACCGCTGAGCCAAACCGGCCAGGGCTAGTGGATCATTCTTTAAGTGGCTTTGTCACACGTAAGTGAGTAAAACAAGCTGGAAGAAACTGCCATCCAGTGAAGAGAAGGATGTAAACTTTATTGACCTCCTTGAATGTGCCAGGTGTTATGCAAACTGCTTGACAGGTAACCCTGTGAATGGGGCATGATCTTCATGCTAAAGGTGAAGAAACTGAGGTTCAGTAACTTGATCAAGACCTATAACCAGTAAAATGTAAATGGCTGACAGAGTCTGGATACAAACCAGCTCTCTGTTACTGCAAAGCCTTGATATCTTGAATTTTGCCTAAATTTCCTATTCGTATCCCAGTACCAGTGAATAAACTTAATAAAAAAATACTTTCAAAAGGCAAGATGACTTTTGATAACATTTTTTCTTAATTTTAAGGTGACTAGGTTAAGATGTCTAAAAAAAAGCTAGTATTCATGTCCTTCAAAGTAATTAGAAACTTTCAGAAGTGATTGGTATAAAATAATTATTGTCATTGATCAGCTCTGAACAGATAATTTTAAACAAAGTCATTGCATGCTCAGCAGATTATAGCTTGTTAACGGGCAACTTCCAAATGACCTTTTAAGCTAGTCAAATCAATGATGCATATTCCTCATTAGGTAACATCAAAATGTAAGTGGACTTATAAATAATGTTTATTTTAAGCACTAAAACAAATGGCAAAAGATTGATATGTCAAAAGTCATCTGCTCATAGAAAACATCTTCCCTTCACTGGGTTTATTTTTTTCCCCAAAAAATTCATAGTAACCTTAATGTTATGGAAAGAGAGAAAAATAATGTCTCCTCTAAAATTAAAATGAAGATGGACAACAAAGTCACTAATAAACAAACTAGCTAGTATGAATGCTCTAGATATATATGAGCACATACAAGCAGAACCCTTATTTATAATTACACTTTCTTTTTTAATCCCCACCTGAGGACATGCTTACTGATTTAGAGAGGGGAAGGAAGAGAGGGAGAGGGAGGGGGGAGGGGAGAGAGAGAAACATCAATCGGTTGCCTCCTATACATGCCCCAACCCAGCGGTTCTCAACCTTCCTACTGCCGTGACCCTTTAATGCAGGTCCTCATGCTGTCTGTGGGCGTGTCTGCGTGTGGGCGGACCCGCCTGGAGATGGACAGAGGAGCGGGGTCTGGGTTCCTAAGACCATCGGAAATAGGTGTTTTCCGATGGTCTTAGGCGACCCCTGTGAAAGGGTCCTTCGACCCCCAGAGGGGTCGCCACCCACTGGTTGAGAACCGATGCTTCCTAACCAGGGATTGAACCTGCAGCTCAGGTACGTGCCCTGACCTGGAACCAACCTGAAACCTTTCAGTGCAGGGATGATGCTCCAACCAATTGAGCCACACTGGCCAGGGCCATGCTTACACTTACTTTAAATTAGAAGATTCTGGATAATTATTCCTTACGCAGTTTCTTCTCTTTAATATTCTGTTTCCCTGCTCTACCTGACTTCCTACTTCATTGTTCTACTGATCTATTTAATCAATTCACAATTTGGTATTAGAAGGAGTAGGAGGGGAGGAATATTATTTTTCATGGTGATGGTACATTTAAATATCTGAACATCATCAGGCAAAAGTTCAGGGTTGTCTGGACGGTCCCTTTCCCTCTTCCTTAGACTGATAATTTGAGGCATCTTTTTCTGTGTGATTGAGACTGTGTCTTATTCATTTGTATTCCTGGAACCTAACATAATGTCTAATGTATGAGAGACCATTAGTTTTTTTTTTCATAAATTATTTTACTTATCTTTATCTAATCTTGGAGTCATTGTTCTAAACATAAATCCTTCATAACATTAAATATAAAAACAGGATTATAAATGCTTCAGGAGACTGAGATGGATCCTTATATATCTGACATACACGTAACATTTTTA